CCGGAGGGCTTTGGTAGCTCAGGTTGTACATCCAGACGTCAGTTAGCAGGTGAAGTCCTCAAAGGTGCCCCGGGCCGGGTGATGAGGTAGGATATTTGCTGCGTACGTCATGCCTGCCGGGTGGCCCCGTATGCTTTCACAGGGATTCTGCGGGGCAGAGAGGCTGGATGGGGTGCTGGGCTCACCGGCTTCACCCACAACCCTGCCGAGTGGGATCCCTGGCTCCCTACAACATCTCTGCCTGCTGCCTCTGCTTTTCCCAGCTGGTTCCCCAAGCAGTGAGCCCACCACCGCCGTGAAACACCGCGGCACGCTCGGCACTTACGTGGCGTTTCACGTCGTCCATGCTCAGCGCGACGCCCTTGTCCGTGTTGTTCCTCTTGTGGTTCTTGCGGCACTTGCCCCGCCGGCACAGCCGGTGCTTTATCACCTAGGAGAGCCACATTTCAGCTCCACACAGGCTCACAAACGGCTCTGCCCCGTGCCCAAGGTGCAGGGAATGGCCCAGCACCCCACAGCGGGCTCTGCCAGCCCCAGGGAAACGTGGTGCCAAGGGGAGGATGGGGTTGTGCCAGCACTGGAGGAACAGAGGGGACTGGGGGGGAGCACTTTTGGTGCCCCCTCGCAGCCAGGGGATGGCAGAGGTGCTCACCTCATAGGCGTAGTCAAACAGCTCCAGCACAGTGAGGATGCTGGCCCCGATGAAGAGCCCCATCTGCCCTCCAATGTCACCTGGAGAGGGGAGGAAAGGAGAGGAGAGGGAATTCGTCAGCGGGGCATGAACCCAGAGTCTGGGGGCAGATGGAGCAAAGAAAGGGCAGAACTCATCACCGCTGTGACCCGGTGGGGTGCCCTGCTCTGTGCCCAAGCTGTCGGCACACCCCGGTGCCTCGGGGCTGGGCTCACAGCATGTGGGACCACGTTGGAGGATGCCAACGTGGGGCATGGCGCAGGGCACAGCCACTCACCCAGCAAGCCGGCCACCTCGTACGCCTTCTTCTGCTCGATCGTCTCGTAGTTCAAGGCTTCAAAGAAGATGTCCAGCACCAGGATGTTCTCCCTGCATGGAAAAGAAGCGGCGTCAGGTTGAGGTTTGAGCCCGGGGGACGCGATGCCGCCCTGTCCCCGTGGGGGGTTACCCGATGTACTGCTCCGACTTGTTGTACTTCTTGGCCAGGTACTTGGCAGAGGCCTTGCTGGGGATTTTCACCATGGAGAGCTCCTTGCCGTAGCGGGTGACGTTGCAGGGCATCTCGCAGACGCAGTACTCGTTGTCCTTCTCCACCAGGAAATCTGGGCAGGGAAAGAGAGGGATGAAGAGAGGGAAAAACCCAACACTCAGCCCCACTCCAGGAGCTGGGCGGCCTCACCTAAAGCCGGGTCTGCGCACTCCTTGTACTGCTCCGGGGTGCAGTAAGGGGCATCGCCTGAAGGAGAGAGAAAGGATTCCCATGGGACTGTGTCCGAGGGCGGGGGGGCCGGACCCGGCGGCGCGCGGCTCACCCGGCATGTGCACCATGCGGCAGTTGCAGTTCTCCACCAGGTAGCGGGTCTCGCAGTCGATGCGGCAGGCGGTGATGCTGTAGGTGTCGTAAAACTCCGAGTCGCCCGCCACCGCCTTGCAGTCGCCCCAGGGAGGCGGCAGGTAGATGAGCTGGGAGAGGGAAGAAACCAGGAGTGAGGAGAGGAGCACAGGGAGCACAGGGTCTAGCCCAGAGGGTGGGAGGAAGCATCCCGGCACCCCCAGCCCCTACCCGCTGCTCCTGGCAGGACACGAAGGTCTGGAAGCCGGGTGCCACCCCGAAGCCCAGCTGGTCGATCAGCGGGGGCTCGTCCTGGCTGTGGATCTGCACCTTGATCCCGGCTTCGAACGAGGTCTCGTCTGCGGCAGAGAGAAGCAGAGAGGGGCTGAACCCGGCTGCCAGAGGGAACGAAACTTCTGCCTGCCACCCTTTCCGTCAGCAAATCCCTTCCTTTGCATGTCCAGCCATCCGTCCATCCCTCTGCTGTGCCTCGTCCTTGTCCCCTCCACCTCTGACCCCTGCAGCCCAGAGCTTGGGGAGAGCAGCAGGGAAAGCGCTCGGCTCTATTTATAAACAAGTGACGGCTGCTTGTCTAAACTGATGGGGGGTTGCCATGGCAAATAGCACAGACAAGGAGGGAAAAGGAAAGCGAAGGACCTGAAGTGGTGAGAAATGGAAGGAGGGAAGAGGAGGGAGCCCGAGGGACGTGGCCCTGCAGCGTGAGGAGCTGGGAGGTGGCTGGGGAGCAGGACAGGAGCTGCTGGCACCCTCTGGGGCGGTGGGTTACCTGTTTCCCCCCACACCGGCAGGTACTCATCCTGCTGAATGTCCAGCATGATCTCCAGGCCGTTGCCGGTGCCCCCCTTCATGGTGATGAGCCGGGGCTTCCCGTCCTGCCCCGCGTTGAAGGTGTAACACTTCCCGTAGCGCGTGAAGACCTGCGGGAGAGAACACGGGGCTGAGGCTGGGGCCCCTCTGCTGACCCCAAACTGCCACCGGCACCGTTGCGCAGAGCTGGGAGGGCACCACCAGCCCCAAAATGCCAGCCAGCCCCAGCCTGGGGGTACGATCTGACCTGGGATCCTGCCCCACGGGGGGTCTCTCACTGTTGGAGCTGCCTGCTTTTGCCCCGAGAGAGGAGGAGACACCCGCACCAAGGCAACGGCACAGGTTCAGAGGAGACACTTTGCAGATTCACAGCACCACAACCCCACGAACCCCACGGCAGCCCCAAATCTCCGAGATGGTGTCGCTCAGCCCCGTGCCCACACCAGCACCTGCCCCATTCCTCCTCCAGCCCCATAGGGAACGGGGCTGGACAGGATCCTCAGCTCCCCACTTCTCAGCTCTCACCTCCAGCTACCGGCACGGCTCCATGCTGCTCAGCTGCTGCCAGCCTGGGCAAGGGGCATTTAGGGCCAACAGGCTGCACGGTGCCAAGCCTAGGAGTGGTGGTGACACGAGGATGGAGGTGCCAGGCACCTTCTCTGCAAGCACAGCCCCGGAGCTGCTCTCCAGTGGGGCCACGCAGCCGGCACCATCCCCGACACCAGCGAGGTGCCTGGGTGCTGGAGGATGGGGTGAAATATCAGCCTGTCCCCATAGGAGCTGGGCAAGGACAGAATCACTCGCCTGATCTCATACAGTGCTGGCTGGAGCTGCTCCCTGCTCCCTTCCCTCTCCTTTTGGGGCCAGAGGACAGGCAGCAGGAGTCCTTTGCTTCTCCCCACCCCGAGCTGCGAACACGGCGCTCACCACGCTGAGCAGCCCCGGGTGGTGGGAAGGGTGAGCTGGGGCAAGGAGAAGAGAAGGAGCAATCGTGGGGCAGGTGAGGGGTAACAGGAGCCGAGGAAGCCGGAGAGCAGGCAGGATACTTGGTGGAGACGACGGTGCCAGGCAAAAGGAGCGTGCTGCCACCCGGGGCTGTGCTGGGGCTACTCACCGCCACGAAGTCGCTGGGGCCGCACCGCTCGCCCCGGTAGCTGCAGCTCAGCAGCATGTCCTCCAGCTGGTGGCAAGTGCGATTCAAAAAAACATACAAATTTAGGGGCTCGTCCTCCTCCCAGGAGCTGGGCTGGGCTGGGGCAAAGCCCAGCTCCATCCCGGGCTCGTAGTCAACCAGGGGCGCCAGGTAGAGCAGGTCCTCGTGGCTGAGCTGCGAGACCCGCACACGGTTGATGTTGCAGAAGGTGACGGCGGGGAAGGTCATCTCGGGGCTGTCCTCCTCGCTGAGCAGCGTGACGTGGTGGTACTCCAGGTAGTAAACGATGCGGTCGGCCACCTGGTAGAGGAAGACGGACAGGGAGAGGAGGAAGGCCAGTGCCCAGAGCGCTTGCCGGGCTCCCAGGCTGCCCTCCACGAAGATGTGGCTCAGCCCGTGCAGCGTGCAGCTGCTGGCAAAGGCCACAAAGTCTGTGGCTGCTCCCACGTCCTCCTCCTCCTCCTCTTCATCCTCCTCCTGCCCGTACAGGAACTCGTCCGCTCCGTCCTCTCCCCTCCCGGCAGCTGGGGCATCTCTTGGTCCTTCCTCACGGGAGAAGGAAATGGTGCAGAAGATCTGGAGGGGCATCGTCCAGCGTGGGGGTCCTGGCCCCTGATCTTCTGGGGGGTCTCCGGCGGTGGCTCGATGCCTTGTAGGGTGGGCGAGAGGGAATGGGGGAGAGCGGGGAGGGAGGAAGGGGAAAGTTCAGGAAGGAGAAATGGGAAAAGGAGCGAGAGGCACGCTGATGCGCGGGGAGAAAGCGAGAGCGAGGAGAGAGGAGAGGAGCAGAGGGCTGCTCGGAGGGGATGGAGAGAGGAGGGTATATGAGGAGCGGGGACGAGGAGAGGAGGAGCGAGGGGCGGTTCTGCTGGCTCCCCGGTCCCGGGGGACCAGCCCGGCTGCGGCTGGCAGGACGGAGCAGAGACGTCTCCGGCTCCAGAAGCGCTGCCGTGCTGGGAGCTCCTGGCACTGCCCAGGGAAGCTGAGGGGCTGCCAGGTCCCGTGAGGATGGGTGCGCGTGGGGGTGCGCGCAGGCACCCGGTGTGCTGCGTGCTGCATCCTCCGTCCTCCCGGTGGGTCTCGTGGTCCTGGCAGCCTGAGCGGCTGCTCCAGCCAGGCACACCCCGCCGGGGCCAGGCTGTTTCCGCAGCCACCATATGCTTGGCTCTCCGTGCTCTCCCTGCTCTTCACCACGGCGGCCAGAGCCTTGCCCAAAATGCCTGCGGCACCGTCCCGCTGCGGTGCCCGTCTGCGTGGTGTCATCGGGAGCGGATGGATGGATGCTGCGGTGTCCCCGAGCTCTCGTGGTGCTCACCCTGCCCCGGTGGCACCCGTCCCCTTGCGCTCCAAGGTCCGTCGTCCTCCGAGCCAACTCGGATTTGCAGGATTTGGCACTGCCGTGGTTTGGGCGATGACTCCTGCAGAGCTGCTGTGCGGTGCATCACCTCGTCCTCCACATCCCTGCGGGGCACGGGGAGCCTCTGCTTCCCCCGGGGATGGCGTCCAGGCTTTGTGCTGGTGAGCACAATGGGACCAGAGGGACCGGAGAAGCAGCCCCGAGGTGGGACGGGGGCACGGAGCCAGGGCCAGGTGAATGCCGGGAGCAAAGGCATCCCCCACTGCAGCCCTGCGGCAGCACGGCCCCTTCTTGCGGTTTCATTTTTTTCCTGCACTCAGCACTTCATAAAAGCATCCGATGTGACCACAGAGCAATCTCCAGCCCCATCCCAGCACCGCAGCCGCCGTTGTGGACCCGAGGGGAAGGGGAGCGTCTGAATCCAGGAGGCCTTCGCTGCGCCAGAGCTGGATGGGACGTTTCTGATGCTCGGGTGCGATGAGCACACCCCAGCCCGCTGCTTCGGCTGCCGTGCCTCCTTGCCTGCATGCACCACGGGGCACATCAGGGCCCCTTGTCCCTGAGCACATAATGGACACTGGCACCCCCAAATCTGCTGAACAAATACAACCAGGAAACTTCTACGGAATGGATGGGAGCCCGGTACAAAGTTATGGGCTCTTCCCGAGAAAGAGGTGCTGGTGAAACGTGCAGGATGCACCCCGAGGACCACTGCCAGGGCAGGGATGATGAGAGGTTAAGGTGTGATAGCACGTGGTCCCCCAAGGGTCTGCCCCGGGGCCCTCCAAGCTTGATAACCCCCAAAAGGGCCCCAAAAGTGTAAGGGGAATGCTGGCAGAGGCGCTGAGCACAAAGCTGGGGATGCTGTCAGTGCCCGGGAGAAGAGGGGGTGACCTTGGGGAAGAGTGCCAGAGCCACAGGATGAAATTTCATAAGGCTGGGAGCAAGGTCGAGCCTTTCAGGAGCAACCTGGAGAATCTGAGCTGGAAACTCATCCAGGGAACAGGACTGGGGTCACATCCTGCCCCTTTGCCTTTTTGGTGGAGATGAGCTGCAGCTGCACCATGGGCAGGGCTGGATAAAAGCATCACCTGGGAGGGGGTTTGGGGGCATGGGGCTGGCTCAGCCCTGTGGTGTGAGCAGGGAACAGGCACCAGAGGCTGCTTTTGGCAGAGAATGAGGCTGGCTGAGGTCAGGGTGGGATTTGTCACGTCCCTTGGCTATGGGACAGGGAGTTTCAGTGACAATGAGTGGAGGAGGGAGAGGCGAAGAAGGAAAATGGAAGAGAAAGGGTTTGCTTCGCCCTGCTGGTCCCTGATGGTGTGAGCAAGGTGCTAATCTGATCTAATGGCATGGAGGGGGGATTTTTAATGTGTCTTTTCAGGAGCAATTGCAGCAGGGAGAGGGAGGTGCTGTAATGAAAACGCTCCATCATCGGCCAGAGCCATTAACCTGTCGCGCTCGGCTTAACCAGCCTGCGGAGAGCACCAAGGCTGCTTCCCAGAGCCAAGCGCTGCCTGGGCTCCAGTTACCAGAGCCACCACTCAAACTGGGTGACCAGTTGATGGTCCCAGCCAGGAGCACGGTGGCACCGGTGCTTGGGGGACCCCGTCCTGCCCCTACAATTAGGGACAAACCGTGGCCGTGTCCCCGTGCCGCGGGCAGGGGGTTGCCGTCCCAGTTTGCGCGAGTTTTGGAGATGCCGGAGCCAGTCCTTGGGCTCGCTCCAGCTCCTCCCGCAGCAGGAGTTATTTTTACCCTCTTTCAGGTAAAGCTTTTGCGGGGGAGAGGGACGGGGGATGCTATAATTAGCTGTGACATCAGCCCCCGTGGCGGCGCGTGCTGGGACGATGCCGCCGTGCCCCGACCTGCGGCTGGGGACCGGGGATGCTCCGTGCCCTTGTCCCCTGCTGCAGTGGGGGCAGCGGGATGGTGGCAGGAGCTGGGTTGTTCCTGGCTCCAGCTCGGTCTTTGGCCGCTTTTTGGGGTGGTTTGGCCCCGCTCTGTGCCTTGCAGCTCATCACGGGCTGGGGAAAGGAGGTTCCCCGGAGCGGGGGAGCACGGAGGCGGCGTGGGGTGGGGGTGGGGGGGGAAGGCAGGAGGGGGATTTGACGGCAGCAACAGCACATTTCACAGCCTGTCACGCTTTAATGGCAGAGGAGATCAAAGCCGGGATGGAGTTATTCATAGAGATAAACCAATCCCCGAGGAGGCGAGGAGAAAACAACATTGCAAGCTCTGTTATCCCAGGCCTGCAAGCAGCAGCCCGGCCCCGGGGAGGCTGTTGCAGGAGGTGCCCTGGGAGCCAGATCCGCTCGGCTCCATCCTGGCAAGGCCTGGCCAAGCTGGGGCTGGGCTGCCTGCACCTTCCCTGGGGGGGTCAATGAGGTTGGATGCAATCCTACAGCACCCAGGAGTAGGGTTTGGGGGTGGATGTTTGGTGGGGCGAGCGGGCTGCCGTGCGCCTGCGATGCACCAGAGAGGGGGGGGAAAAATTTAGGCTTGCAACATTTGGGGCAGCTGCAGCTCCCGAATAAGAGGCAGAGTCGGGGCAGCCTTCACGCTGCTCCTGGGCAGAGGAGGCGGGTGAGCAAGGTGGGATTGCCCGGGCGGCCAGGATCTCTGCTGGGACTAATCCTGCCGCACTTATCAGATGCTGCCACCTTGCCTCTGCTTGCACCGTCGGCCAAGCCAGGCGCAGCTTGTGTTATCCGACCCTTTATCCCCCCAGATTAGACGCTTCACAGTGGATTAGCATGTCACATTCTAATGCAGAAAAATTGATGATTAAAAAGGACTTTTTCTCTGTATTATTCCCCACCTCCGCCTCTTCTCCACCCTGTCCCCATGGGCCCAGGCAGTCCAGCCCCGGCTACGCACACGGGTGATGTGGGAATCCTTTCCTGGCTTGTGCAGGGGATGGGAAAACAAAGGTCCTGTTTTGGGGCCATGCAGGGCTGCTGTGCTCCATCCTGGCTGGCTTTGGTGACAGAGCCTGGGGTGCCTACAACCGGGATGCTCCCAGTCCCTGCCGGCCCCGTGCCATCCTGCCCGGGGCTGTCGTCTGCAGACCCAGAATCTGCAGCTCAGGACTTTAATAAAAAGCACATTATGGTGAGTAATGCGCTAAGTGGACTTCATTATGGACCTGGGGCCTCCCTGGCTCCCGTTGTTCCATATCATTTCATATCAGACGAGCCTTATCTCCTCTCCAAACGTTTCCATTTAAACTCCATTAATCTTTCAGAACCTCCCTGGCCCGGCGCTGCTCAGCGCTTCCCAGCCAGCCCTGCCTGGTGCCGGGGCTGTCGGCATCGTGGTCCCCTGGGGTCCTGCTGCTGGGGGAGGGATCTGGGGGGGCTCTGTGGGTATCCACGGCCGGGCTCCTCTGTGTATCCACCACGATGGCTCCAGCAGCTGCCTTATCCTTCTTGCTGAGGACCCATTTACGCTCCTATAATTGAAACAGTTTGTAACGCCGAGGGCTCGCTGGGTGATTTACCCATCTGCAGCAGCTCCCGTGCCTTGGAGGGGGGCAGCAGCACCGTGCTGGCTCCTGCCCCACCAGGAGCAGAGGAGGAGGCTGCCGAGGTGCCGCTAATTCCGGGGCCCCCAGGATTATTCTCCAGGCGGACACTTATCCGAAAGCCTTCCCGTGTTTCCTGCCGCCTGTGAATTACCCATAAGCAGGTTGCAATTTTTTCCGACATCCTTCACAATTGCTTAGACAGTTCATGCAAACATTCAAGCCGATGTTTGTATTGGTGGTGGTAGGGGGGGTGGAAATTGTATTCCGAGCGGGTTTTCTCGCTGCGTTCGCCTGCTCCAGCTCTGCGCACCGCATGGTTTTCAAATCAAATCTAATCCAAGCAAGGTGGTTACACAGCCCCGGCGTGTGGCTGCTCTGCGTGAGGCTCACCGCTGCCTTGTGGGGCTGCTGGGGCAGCGAGAAGGGGCTTAAAATCCCCCATAAACTGAGGGTGGGGGGAGCCCCTGCCCCAGTGTCCCTGGCTCTGTCCTGGTGCTGGGATCCTGGGTGCAAATGCAGCGGATCCTCCATGCAGGGGGGAAAAAATATTCAGGAGGAAAAAAAAAAGTTGTAATATCCAAGTGTCAAGGCCTGTATAAATAAATAAGAGCCTGAGATGGTGAGGTGCATCTTGAGTCATGGTTGTTTCGGGAATTGCAGTGATGCCTGCTGCTTCGAGAGCCCCGGCTCTGACCAAACTCTGCAGGCGATAAAACAAAGGCATCTATAAAAAGCCAGATAAATTAAAACTGAGGCAAAAGGCCATGAGACAGTTAATTTCCCGGATCTCCCTGGGGAGATCTCTGCCTCCTGCGTGGCTCCAGGTGCTCAGGGGAGCTGCTCCCCCTGCCCCAGGTTGTCCCCGTTTAGCACTGGTGAAAAGGAGAAGCCACCTGCAGAGCTTTCCTGGGTGAATTCTTTGAAATACCCTCGGTCACCGAACGCGCTGTGTGCTCAGCTGCTGCTGCTCAGCTTGGCTCTCAGATAAAGACTGAAGGGGAGATAAAGGGGAAATCGTTTGGAAAAAACAAATTCCATTTTCTGGTGGTGTTTCAGGGTTTTATTTCCAGCCTGTGGCTCCCACGAGGGCTGGTATCCGGGGTGCGTGTGCCTGGAGCTCCGCGGTCGTGGCATCCCTGCCTCCATCGCGGCCAGCCAGATGGTGCTCGAAAGCCTCCTCATCTCTTCCAGCAGCTGAAGATACCATTAAACCTTATTAATAATAATTAATAATTAATTTCCTAATGATTTTGTGTGCAAAGGCATCTCAAGAGGAGCAGGAACAGCCTGGCGGGGCCCCAAAGGTGCATCTGAGGCGCTCGGAGCTCTTGGCACAACACCTCCGGGTGCGTTGGGGTGCACGAAGGGCTTTGGGTGTGCAAGACAGCTCTGGGGGTGCAAAGCAATTTGGGTGTGCAAAGCGATTTGGGTGTGCAGGGTAACTCTGGCTGTGCAAAGTGCTTTGGGGGTGCGCAAAATGCTTTGGGGTGTGCACAATGCCTCCGGGTGCGCAGTGTTCCCGTGCGTGCGTGGTGCATATTCGCGTGTTCCCAGCTCTGGGCAGGGCTGTGCACGCTGCTGAGTATGGGACGGCTGCAATGCCAGCCCAGGACCTAAATGACCCCCGGCTGGGCCTGCTCCTGCTCCTGCGTGTCCTCCTCTCTCCTCTCCTAATCTCCTGCCGGGGTGAACGGGAGCGATGTTGCTCGGTGCTTACAGGTTCGAGGCGCTAACTGATTTACCTGCTCCGTGGCAGAGCTGCTAACGAACCGGCTGCGAGGCGCAGGCACGCGTCGGCCCCCGCTGTGCCATGCCCGGCACTGATGTCCTCTGCCTCTTGTTCCTGACCCTCTTCTGCTGCTTTTGGCTCTGCCAAAATCCCAGGGGGTTTGGGGACGCCGCTCCCGTGCAGCAATGGGGACTGTTTCGTGCTGTCCTGCTGCAAAATGAGTAAAATGTGACTGGATTCAAGCAAGAGTCGCTCGCTGTGTGTTTTTGTGGGGCGAGTGGAGCCGTGGATGGCTGAGGGATCCCAAATTCTCCCACCTGCACCCCGCAGGCACCGGTGTCCAGAAGACCTCAGTAAGCACCGAGGAAATGAAGCGGCCAAGGAACAGCGCTCATTGGTGCCTCCGCTCTGCACCCGAGGGCTAAATGGCTCTGGGCTGCTTTCTGGATGATTTCCTTTGAGCGAAATACCGAGATCCTTGAAAGCCTCCTAGCTGGCCGAATCGGGGTGCTCCTGACCCAGCAAATAGCTGCGGCCCCGTCTGGGGCTGCTCCTCTGCTCCGTCAGCTCCGATTATTCCGCAGCACGCTGCCCGTGTCCCACGCGGTTTGCTTCGCTCGCGTGGCAAGCGATGCGAGCTCCGGGGTCAAACGAAGCCGCTGCTCGACGGTGCTGATGGCTGGGACAGGAGCTTGCACTGACACAGGCGGGGATGGCACCGCCAGGCCCCGGGGACCACGGCTGGGATGCCGGAGGTGAAACGCCGCTCGGAAACAACAGATAGAGGCGAACAGTTTCAAATGCTTATAAGTTATTTAGGAGCCCTTGTGCCGCGTTAAGAAGTGATTTACATAAATCAGTTGAATGTTTTACAGCGTTTGTAAACGCATCGGCTGCATTGGGCACCGTGGGGAGCGCCGCCGGGCTCATTGTGCTGCTGGGGACCGGTCCCAGGCCGGGGGATGATGCTTTTTGGGGTCAGTGGCCGGTCCTGCTGCCCACGCGGTCCCCAGGTTGTTTTTTCCCGAGCCAGATGAGCCCGTGAGGTTTATTTCTTAACTCTCTACAGCTCCAGGAAATATCTGGGTATCGGTAATTCCCGCGCCTGGTCTCTCCAGCTGTGTTGGAGATGTTTTTCACTCCGGCTCCATGATTACCCACCAGCGCTTCGCCGCGGGGATGCTGCGCTCACCGCGGGGCTCCGGGCTCATGACTGCCACGGCCCCGATGCCTGGGTCCTCCGGTGAGTGCTGGGGTCCCCCAGGGCTGAGGGTGGAGGCAGAGCTGTGGCTTTGGGATCTGGGGGGGTTCAGAAAGGTACCTTGGGGTTTGGAGGGGCCCACGTTGCTCCGCGGGTGGGAGGAAGGAGAGGAGGAGCGTGGCAGGGGGTTGCTGGGGCTGCTCCAGACCTCTCCTGCTCCCTGCCTCGCTCATCCTCCGGGCACTCGTTGTTTCCAGGGCAGAGGATGCAGAAAGCCGATGCAAAAGGCAGCGGCATGATCTCCATGTCAGACTCAATTTTCCCGAGTGCCAGCTCAGCCCCGGAGCCTCATGGAAATGGTCCAGAGGTCTTAATCCTCTGCAGTTTTATCTGGGGTGTCCCACGTGCGCTGCCCTAAGGCTCCGAGGCCAGGCACGGCTCCCGCGCCCTGAAGCAGCAGGGGGATGGGGATTTGGGGACGTGACTCTCCCCCAGGACAGGCTGGGGGAGCGGGAGATGGGAAAGCTGCAAAATCACATAGCTCTGGGCATGGCTGCCCACGTCACCCCCACCCCAAAAAGGGGCTGAGCAGAGCAGAGCGTGCGGCACCGTCCCGAGGTTTAACGATGGTTTCATGTGGGACAGCCCCAATTCCCATCCCGTGACCCCTGCCATGCCCCAGACCACACACTGTGGGGTGAAGAGGAAGGGTATCCTCATTTTCCCCTTGGTGGAAAGAAAATTAATGGGATTTAGAGCCCAGAGATGAGGCCGCTGGGCAGGGAGCAGATCCACGGGGGAGCGAGCAGCACTCCTGGGGCCTCCGCATGGGGAGGGAGGGGAAATGCAAGCGGGGAGCCAGCGGGGCCGTGCGTTCCCGCAGAGGAATGAGGGCTCGAACTTATAAATAATGAAGAAGCAGGCGAGAAACATTGATCTCTGCTGCTAATGAGCACAATGGGGAGCACGGCCCCAAAACGGAGGTGAAGGGGAGGCCGATTCCCCCATCCCCAAAAAGGAGCCCTGGAAGGATTCCCCGTGAGCAGCTCTGTGGGGCTCATGGCCCCGGTGCTGGGGACGTCCTCACCCCATATCCTTCAGGGATGGAGGCTCTGAGGGGGGGGGGGGTTCAGGACATGCCCCACGCCTTGTGCGTGCCCCACGGGGTTTTAAGGCCGTGCCAGGATTTGGGGGCTGGGGAGAGGAGGCGGCTGCAGCTCCCTGTGCATCCTCCCAGGTCTCCTTCAAGGGCTCAGTCCCCCAAAACCTACCCAAAACCCACCCCCAGAGCATCGCTACATCTATCTACATGTGGCTGCTGCCCCTCGCAGCACCCCCCCGCAGCACACAGCCGGGTGGTGATGGAGGGGAAGGAGCAAGGCCGGGCCCCCCCGATGTGGCCCGGGGATGACGCAGGACAAAAGGGGAGGTGGGAAAAGCCCCCATGACCCCAGGATGGGCTTTCCCTGGCATCCCACACCAGCCCTGCGTGCTGGGGGATCCTGGGCACGTTCCAAGGCCCCTCCATGCAGGGGGGCTGCAATGTGCCCCCCCGGGATGCTCCCAGCATTATGGGGCCACGCAGGCAGCCCTCCCCACATGGGGGGGGACCCCTAGGGCTGCCGTGGCCACCCCCCAGCGATGCCCTCCCACCACCCAGCAGTGCAAGGGGGGGGGTGAGGACGGCGGGCAGCTCCAGCCCCCTTATTTTCACCCCGGATATTTCGGATACAGCACCCCCCCCATCTGCATTCTCCGTGTCTCCCCCGAGCCCTCCCTCCTGCCGGGGACAGATAACGCGGCGGCCGCGGTGCTGGCGGTGGAGCCGCGGCTCTTCCCGTCGCCTCCCGCGCCGGCCAACATCAGCATGCAGCCGGCATCGCCTGGGCGGCCGCGCGCTCCCCAGCTCTCCCCATCACCCCCCGGCTCTCCCCATCGCTCCCCAGTTCTCCCAGTTTCCCCCCCCGGCTCTCCCCATTGCCCCCTCGGCTCTCCCCCCCGGCCACAGCACTGAAGTTGAACGGTTGGGAAGGGGACGGGTATGGAAAGGAGCGAGCTCCATCCCTGCCTGCACGCAGGCAGCTCCCCCCCAGCCCGTGGGGTCTGGGCAGACCCCAAATCACCCCCGGTGGGGGTCCCCTTGGGTGCAGCATCTCCTCTGTATCAATACGGGGGGGCTGTGAGAGCCCCTCCTTGGGCATCCTGCTAGCCTGGGTGGTGCAAGGGGCTCCAAAAGAGAGGCAGTGGGATCTGCAGTGGGGGTGACACGGGTGGGGGGACGATGGGGCACCATGAAGACCCAGCGGGACACGGTGCAGGGATGGTCCCAAGGGTGCCCCAGCACCCACCGGCCTCACTCGGTGCCACGGGGCCCAGAGCAGTGCCAAGCATGGACGGACACAGCAGGGAACAGCGTGGCAGCAGGAATTATTAACCTTTAAGACAAACACCTCTGAAAACAGCCTCAAGCCCCGTTTGGGGACAGGGCAAAGGTTCCTGAAGGGGCTCGGAGGGACAGGGTGGCCGCAGGACCCCGCGTGTGCAGGCGGCGCCGGCCCCAGCCCCGGCACGCACAGCTCTGCCTGCACAAGGCTGCAAGGGGAATCCAAAGAGCAACATAAATATAGCACTGAGCCAGCTTTTTCTAATCAAATCCATTAAATCATCCAAACCTGCTTGCAAGGAATAATCCAGGCAGTAATAATAAACCAGCTGCAAGTCTATTTTGCTTCTCCCGGTCGGAGCGGATGGGGGGAGCGGGGTATTTGGACCCTAACAGATGGATGGAAGGATGAAGGATGAGTTCCTGAGGATGCTTTGGTGCAGAAAACACCACCAGGGAGGGCCAGGCACCACAACCACCTGGTGACTGCACGTGGGACCTGACCCCCACGGGGGAAATCCAGCCCCCTCGGGGCTGCAACTTGCCTCCATTTACCAACCGAACCGCCCAACCGCTAACAACAGAAGGCTGCTCTGTCCAAAGAGCCCGCCGAGGGAATTTACTGCAGATGATTAAAACCACTCGTACGGTGCCGGGACCTGGGCAGCAGCCCTGGGGACACCCAGCCAGCTCCTCGGCACGCTCGGTGGCTTTATCCTCACTCAGTACGGGATGCAAGTGGGACGTCCCCAGGCCATGCTGGGGACAGGGACGGGGACCCCAAAAAGCGCAGAGCGGCGCACGCCACACCAGAGCCAGCTCACAAAGAGCCACCCCGGTTGCCGAATTTATTAGGCAGCGTCCGAATGGCCAGCACTGTGTAATTCCCAGCTGGACGGGGGAGAGGCAGCCGCGGGGGGATAAAGGCTTTATTGTGTGCTGGAGCTGAGCACCAGTTCAAGCCGCAGCCTCCACGCCGCGCTGTGCCACTGAGACCTGCTTTCCCTGAGGGCCTGGGGGGGCTCCCTTAGGTCCCCGCTGGCCATTTCCATGCCTCTCCCTGCTTTTCCATCCTCACCGTGCAGTGGTTTCCAGCACAAGGTGTCCAACCTGGCACGCACAACCCTGCTTGGCAGAGCCCGAGTGATCCCGGGGAGCTTTGCGCACGCAGAAGGACCCTGCACCGAGCGGCACCCACGCCTCGGGGGCACCCGGACCTCTAAAGCCCAGCACCATCCCCTGGCATCCTCTTAATGCTGCTGCTGCCTGTTCTTTCTGAGCCAAAAGGAGGCAGGAATGGTTACAGACGGACAAACACCCTCCTCGCAAGGTGGATTTGCGGCGCTGGGAGGGGGCCGCGGGGGCACTCACCACTTTGAAGTCTTCGGGGGTGCACTGCTCCCCACGGAAGAAGCAGGACAGTAACATCTCCCGGATGTCGTGGCCAGCCCGGTCATAAAACTCCAGCATGTTGAAAGGTTTGGGCTTGAAGTTTCGGAAGTTTGCCTTGTCCTGCAGGATTTCCATCTGCTTCTCGTCGGCCGTCTGGGTGTCCGGGATCTCGTATCTTAGGGGAAGGAG